ATATATATAATCTTAAATATAATATCACAAACAATTTGATGGGTTAAATTTATATTATATAAAAAAATATTAAAAATATAAAAAATTTACATTAACCAAGTTTTACATAATTTAGATTTTTTTTAGATATGTTAACTAAAAAAATATTTATAATTATTTTAAATATCATATTATAAATTAAAATAAAAAAATAAAACATAAAATAATTTTAAAATTATGTAAAATTTAATTTAATTTATCTTAAATATAATATCACATAATTTAATAATTAAATTTATATCATGCAAAAAATTATTAAAAATAAAAAAGCTTATATTCATGTCCTCCGATTTTCATCCTCTCTATATATATATATATAAATAAATAAGTAACCTTTTTTTCTCAAAGATATATATGAATATATATATATATATATATAACAATATAGAGGAAATATAACTTTTTTTATACACATTTCTTTATTTTTTTATCTATAATTACCCTTAAATTAATCAATTACCTCTTATAAATCACCAACTATTTTATAACTCATTTTATTATTACTTTTCTTATTTTTCTTAAAAAAAAAAATCAAATATAACGAGTTGATAAAAGAAAAATAAGATTAGTTCAAGTATTTTTTTTATTTTAAAAAAATTCACGGAAAGCTGCTTATTTAACGCTAAATTTTATTAAAACAATTAAAATTTAAAAATAAATAATTCTATGGGTTATTAAAATTAAAATACATATTTTTTATAAAAAAAAAAGTAGAAGGAATATGTGGTTGGAGGCGGTAAATATGAGAAGAATTAAGGAACCAGAAATTACGAGAAAATTCAGACGTGCGGAACAAGCCAATTAAATAAATAAATAAAATATATAAATATAAATATAAAATATAAACTCAAGTTTCTTTCATGTTCCTCAACTGAACCCTCCTTTCGGACAAAACCCTATTCGAATTTCTTGATTTTCAGTTTCTGAAGCTTTCAATGGTAAGTCCTTTTCGTCATTCCTCAAATCTCATCCCTTTTATTTCAATTTCAAGCTCGAAAACCATCCTCAACCTCTCAATAGTTTTTCCCCTTTAATTGTGGATCCAAATGCTAAGTTGTTTATTCTATTTGATTTCTTTTTTTAACTTTTTGCAGTCTGAAATGTTGTTTGTGGGTAGGGAATCGGAGAGGGTTCGGGGGTAGGGTTTTATGTTGATATATTGAAAACACCTGCAGAGGGTAGGGGATATGGGGAAATTTTTAATTTTGATATTGTGTTTGTTTTGTGGAACTGAAATTGGAATTTGGAACAGGCTACACCGTTAATGGCAGGGCTTGCAGTGGCGGCTGCAGCTTATGCTGGTAAATATGGTATCCAGGCTTGGCAAGCATTCAAGGCTAGGCCACCGAGGATGCGGAGATTTTATGAAGGTGGTTTCCAGGCTACCATGACTAGAAGGGAAGCAGCTCTTATACTCGGTGTTAGGTAACTATCATTTTTGTTTCAAGATTCTAATACTTTTTATATTGTGTTGATTGTAGTTGTTTTGTCATCACCTTTTTGGGGGATTGATTGAATTAATTCATCGTATTTTTTGTCTTCTAACATATTAATCTTTCTTGTGTTATTTTTGCAACCTGCTTGAATGTGTATCCATTACCCAACATGTAATAAAGTTAAGTCCTTTCATGGTAAGATTACATGACAAAGGTTTTGTCCTAATCATCACTTGAGTCAAGTTTGTGTTTTGAAAAAATCAATGTAAGATTCTGAGGACATTTGCAACCATCTTATATGTCTAATACCAGCCATGCTTGCGGTTTGGAAAGTTGGAAGTGTGTGCATCAAATGTCTTTGATTGAGTTGTTATGGACCGTAGAGTCTCTGGTATATACTTGGGATGTGATTAGGTAGAATTTTGGAAACATCTGCAAAGCACAAAAACAACAATTTCCTTTCCTGTCTAGTATTCAGGCTGCATCATCGATGGAGTATGGACACAAGATGGCAGGATACATCCTTCTCCCTTTTCTGCCTTTTTTTCCCTTCATATATTATACTTCCCTAAAACAACTTGGATACCGTAGATGATGGAGAGATATGGCTTAATATGGTGAAGATGGTTCTTTGTAAGCGCATTGTTTAGGGTTAAAAAAAACATAAAATCTACACATCCATTTTCTGATTTGAATCATTGACGATTATTGAGCTTGTCAAAGTATGCTATTATGGCATTATATTTGGTGGAAGAGACTTGCAGTCTTGCACAATGGAGTTTTTTTTGTTGCAGCTACAATTCTGGGTTGTTATTGCAGTAAAATGCATCCATTATGACTGTTATCAGCGTCTTAATGATTTAGTCTCGTTTCATCTCTGAAATATATAGGGGGTTCCTGTCTTCAACACAAAATACAAAAATATTACCTCTGTTTAGACAATAAACATCAAGTGTTTCCTTATTTCCTTTCCATCCAATGCCTCTATCGCTTGTTAGTATTGTTTATGTCAAGCTTGATATTTTATGATAGGCTTACTCCTCTACTGCATCTATCAAGCATCATGGCTTGCAGCTCTTTGTTCCTTTTTTTAATTTAAGTGTTTCACCTTCACACTTCACTTTTGATATTTGCAAATTTATGTATGTTCTTTGCTTTTTCCAACTCGTTAAGTCTCTGTTGACGTAACTGACGTGTTCTGATTTTTTTCCTATTAATCCCACCATATTTTTTTTTCACTTTATTTCAATGTTATTGTTTTTGATAGCTGTGGCATTATCTACTCAACCAGAACCGCCCTGCTTTTGTTGTTATTGACTGGTCAATGAAGTCTTAGATTGACGGAAATTGTGTTTAATTTGTCTTTCTTTTTATTAATTATGATTGTCTTTAATTTTGAGCTATTATTTGTCATGTGGCAGAGAGCGCACTCCAACAGATAAGATTAAAGAAGCACATAGGAGGGTGATGGTTGCAAACCATCCAGATGCGGGTGGTAGTCATTACCTTGCATCCAAAATTAATGAAGCAAAAGATATCTTACTTGGAAAGACCAAAGGTGGGGGTTCAGCATTTTAAACTTGCTTGCATACCTTTCTTTCCATATTTTTGACTCTTTAGACAGTTGTCTACATTAGAAATCAATTATTAATTTTTTTGGGTCACCGCCGAATCATTTCTTGTAGTGCCAATTATATAGTGAGAAAAATGAACATGGTTATGTATGTATCGGGATGATCAAGCTGCATTGAACGTGGTTTGTGATATTGAAGTTGAGTTATGGTTGCTCCCAATAAATGTGTTTTCTTTACTTGCACTTAGTATTGTCTTTTCACGTGATTTCTCGCTTCTGACTTGAGTCAATGCCACTTCAGTTTGATGTAATCAATTGTATCAATTACAGAACATTTGAGAAATGTTTTTAAAATTATTTTAAAAAATTAATTTACCTTTCTAATATCGTCTCGTCATATGACTTAAATTTGGCCTACAGAAAAATATTTTTAAAATCATAACTAAAATAAAAAAAATTCTATATATATAATGTTTTAAGTGAAAATTCTTCTGAGAGTAATAATATCAATTATTTAGATCATTCAAGATTAAGTTCATGCAGCGTGTAAGCTTTGCGGCAACTGGGCAGGCGGGGTGAGTTTTTGATTCTCCGACCTCACTCCTGATTTTTTAAACGATACCCGCCCGTTTCTTCGCTGGGCTGAAATTTGGATATCATCCTTGCCTTTGTTAGTGAGTAAAAAAAAAAGCAATTCCTAATTAAAAAAAATTGGTAAATGAGTAAAAAAAAAAAAAAAAAAGGGAAACAAGCAACACGTTGCAACATAATTGAAGAAGTAAAAATAAAATTTTTTCATATATAAGTTCCTTTCTTCATCCTAGTTTTATAAAATTATTTTTTAACTGTATTACTAGCGGGTTGGTACAAGACGGATGCAGAACAAGTAATAACATCTTGTCCCAATTTCCCCGTAATAGTCGAAATGAATTTGATCAAGTACCCCCAGCCCGAGTTCATTTTCATTGCTAATTCATGTAACAATTATTCGTGGATCTTCATATCCGTGGCCAAGGAGAAGCCTCCCAAGTGGGGCCCAGGAAGTCCTCATGCATGAGGCTAGTTGCTTAGTCTAATTCTTTTGTTTATCTTCATTTCATTACATTAAAAAAATGAAAAAATTAAATACTGAATGTTACGTTTAAGAAGAAAAAAGAAAAGAATAATAAAAGGCAATAAAAGAGAGAAAAATTTCAAAGTAAATTAGTCTAAATTTTTTGTACACTAAAAGAGACCTTTTCTGTATTAATAATACTAATATAAATATAAAGGTTACTGATTACTAATTTAGTAGCTTTAGCTTATTCATATAGGATACAACTTGGAACCTTTTTTTTATGATATGACTGAAAATCTTATAATAATTATGTAAGTTTTACAAAAATGATTACAAGGGGAACTGTCTAGAAGCAATTAGACAGGGAAGGAGAAAGAATGTGTAACATTGGTGTTTTACCTATATGATTCTGCAAAAGCCCTTAGGGTTCAAAATTCCGATAATTATAACGACCACTCATTCTCTTGTTTCAAGCTCCACCGAGCAGTGGAGCCGCCTGTGGCTGTCGTATTTACATCCAACCTAAGACGGTGCCTATCAGCAGTTACTGTCATGTCACATTAGAAGCTGTCAACAGGTACTACTTGTAAAACCTCTTCCTCCTTATCTTCCTCGAATGCAGCAGTTTCCTCTTGTCGTTCAACAGGGCCTTGAGGAGTTCCAAATAGAGTGGCGAACATCTGTTTATGGCATTGGTCACAAAAATAGAAATACGAGAAGTGGCCCTCGTTTGGAAGCTTATGGATGACTGCCTCTGGCAAAACCCGTTCTATATATTCCATCATTGATGGTGGGACCACCTTATCATCCAGTCCCTGTTAAGTATTCAAATGGGAAACGTAAGATTTACACATAATAACAAGTTGAACTTGATTAAAACATGAAAATTCCTTGTACCCAAGTTATTTAGATAAGTCTACACTAGACTCTTAAAAAAGAAGCACTAAAATGAATGATTGTTACATGATGCATTGATTGCAAATTTAAGACATAAAAAATGTAATCTGAGATATAGTTGAGCACGGAGATCAAAATCTGTTTTCCCCTCTTTGGGTAAATTGATCTGCATCAATTTAGCAAGTTGTTGAAGGCTAGGATTGAACTTTTATGGAGCAATTAGCTTTAAGATTGGGTTGAGTTAGGTCAAAACTCATATTCAGAGTTAGTTAATGCAATAATACTCGCTACCATTTTCTGATATTAATTGTCCACCTTCGTGGAAGAGGGTGTTTATTCCCACTTTCTTATCTAAAAATCTAAGCTATCCCTACACATTCTTACAACTTCAAAGAACTTAAACTTCGCATGAAGAATGTCAGTTGCACATGAATGACAACATATAAAATATTACAAATAATGATGAAACAATACAGAACGATACAAGTGTAGCATCCAAAGAACAATGTTAAAAAATCAAACCTGCCATATGTGTGTAAGGCCAAGAAATCCTGCTAATTCACAGTCCGCCTGACTGTACATTGATTTCAACCAAAGAAGTATGCCTCTTGTCTGACACTTCTTCTGCACATGAAGTTCTTTAAGGTCAAAACCCCAATTTGATACCTGCAGAGCAGCTTCTTCTATAAATGGGCGTATGTTTCCCTGACGAATGGACTCCTCCACGTCCCTCTGCCAAAATTCCTCAAATTCTGGCTCTTCAATCACAAATTTATCCTGCACATGCGATAACAATTACATTAACAATCATGCCAGAGCTAAATGTCTTTTACTTGAAAAACTTTTGCAAGCTGCTAATGAATCGAGGTAACTTATGCCGCCTACCACTATGTTTTGGATTTTTATTTAAAAGTCATCTTTAATTTTATGTTAAAGTGACAATTTCATCAATCAAGGCAAGGGACAGATGAAAATAAGTTTCTCAAAGTGGTATTTTAATCATAAGAATAAGTAATATTCTGTCAGATGTGACAAAAATGAAGTGCGCAGAATTAAATAAAGCTCTGCAGCTTCAAAAATGAATAAGCAGGATTTTCTTAACCAGATAGTGACAGTTGAAAAACTGACAGAGAAATCGGTGTGATTCAGTATCAAACTCGTAAAGCATGGACAGACAACTCACTGCACAAATTTGAACCAAATGCCAACAATTAACTCTGTTTCAAGTAGACATGAATCCACTCCATTTATACTATTGCAATACATAAAAAGCCAGTTATATTGATGATAAATGCAACATACTTTAAAAGTAATTATGCTTGTTATGCAGTTCAAGTTATGATTTATGACACACTCACCTTCTTTCCTGGTGAGAAAGATAGCAGCTTATCAATCTCATCATGGTTTTCAGGCAAAAAGCTTTTCCGATAGAAAAAACTGAGAAATCTTGGAAATCTACGAGCCAAGGAATACATCATTTTCCTCCTTGGAAGCCACTTCTCCCAAGTTCTTTTCATCTCCTCCTTAGTCATGTGTGGGTCATATGGATTAATCATTGGAGCCAACATAGCTGCACCTGCAATTCGAACAATATAATAACATCAAATTCTGCAATGTGTCCCTTTTCTTTGTTGGAGGGTAGATATACTAGAAAAAAAAGGTAGACAATCAAAAAGAAAATTGCTTTTATTGGTATGATCTCCATTGATTTTCTTTTTAATTTCTTTCCCATTAACTTGTAAGATTAAGATGAACTCATATTAATAACTTAATCGCCATTAGATCTGTACGTGCCTCAAAATTTTATCAGTATTTGAGTTTATAATTATCCTCAGTCTACAAGCTGCATGGGAAGTAATAGGGCTAGAAAGCTTTAATAGGACTACCACTTGTAGTTTTATACAGCATCAAAACAAATTTCCCTGGATGAATCAAACAAGCTGTTTTCACCAACAAATGATATTTTCTATAATGAGTATGAGTGCAAATCTATTGTCACATCTTCTAAATCATGTTACAAGAGATTTGTACCTATATCACACTGCTCTATTCTCAAGGAAACACCTCATATTTTTCATCTTTTTTTTTATTGAGGAAAACAATTGTTACTCCGTATCCTCTTTAGACATTCAAACAAGTCATTCATTGGGTTTTAAAGCAGGTGAGATAGCATTTATTAAGAAATGTAAAACTTTATAGCATGACTATGCTGACCCTTTGAGTTGTTTTGAGTTCTAACTATCTGTAACTTAGTACATACAGTAAGAACCAATAACGCTGACTTTTTCTGCAGGGTCTTCTACAATGCTTACTGTGAATGATTTGGAAGGAAAATAATTGGAAGTAAGGAACTAACATAACCACACTGTGGACTAGTCGAGACTCCAGATATACCCATTTGTTTCTTATTAGTGTCAGAATGAGCTCCCAGATAAATTTTTATGAGCAATTTGAAGGAATCTAGTAATTTAAAAGCTTTAAAAAGGTGAACAACCTGCAATTCTCTCAGGAATATATCTGAGGGAAGCCCAAGCATGAATGCATCCACTAGAGTGGCACAGTAACCAGAACTTCTCACTAACATTGACAGCATTGACCAGATGCAGCACATCCATAGCTGATGAATTGAGATTTCTGCCTGGATGAGGATCACTCTCCCCAAAACCAGGAAGATCATATGTGACCAAGCGAACGCCATACTCTTCAAGCAACGATGCTTTGACTCCAGGTAAACCTTTCAAAAAATTATAGATAAAATTTAGCCTCTATTTAAGATTGTATCCAATCCAATAAGCCTTTCCAATAACTAAAAATTCCGACACATTTTACCTGCTAGTCTGGATGAAAGAAAAGAGTGTGGAGCAACAAGCGAAAATCTAGCCAGGTCTGCAGAAACACCTTGTTCATGATAAGCCATGTATCTACCATCCGGAAGTTGCACACGACTAGCACTAGGAGGATGTTGACGCACCTTAACCAGAGGAGCCACTGCCTCACGACTGGGATCTACACTTATAGCTGCAAACAACTCAAACATTCAGTAAATCTTGCACCAAACTAATACCATCCCAGCTAGGTTTCCTGGTGGAAACTAGTAACGATGACTACTCTTTACATTATAAAAAATAAAAATAAAATAAAACTAACACTATCAGGATTAGGAAAAAGATAATTTCTAAGCAGTTACAAAACTCGGTTCAAAATCTAATACAACATGAGACTTGGCTCAACAGATATGGAAAAAATTCATGACAAAGAACGGCAAGAGAATCTATAGATTACTTCATTTATAAAAATCCAATCCGAGTAATATACAGTAATAAGAACAATAAATACACTGACTCTAATGCACAATAGTACTATAATTGGACAAAAAAAAAAAAAACCGAAACTAAGTTAAACGAATTATGTTTTCCATAGGCAATGAAATAGCATAAAATGATCGTGCAACCTGCGAGTGCGAGAATGAAAACGAAGAAGACAACGGACCAAGCGTGAAGCGGATCGCGATCCTCGGGGAGAAAGTCGTTGAGAAAGCTCAACCTCTTGGAAACCCTGGCACAAGGTCCACGAAGCTTCTTCACCAAAAAAAAGTCGTCGTTCATGAAATTCTGACGCAGAATATCCCTAAACCCTCTCCCCAACTCAACGAGAATCTCGCACCAAGCCATGACGAACCCCAACGCCTGCTCCTTGAAGCTCTCCGCCGACTCCACCGACGCGCTCTGCGGCGCGTAGACCGAACGCCTCGCCTCAAACGACGTCGCGGTAATCGGATCTCCGCTGTAGTGAACTCCAGAATCTTCTATGAGACTCGCCAGCTCCTCCGTCCACGTGTTCCTTCCCGTCACTTCCGCCATTTCGCTACTCACTAGCGAAATTCTCGACCCAGCAAAGTTACTTATTCCCGTGACGGTGATGATGCAGAGCCACGATACGGTGACACACTCCTAACTGCTACTTTTCTTTTAAGCAAGCGTGATCTAGAAGCATAACCTTTTGATTAATTATTCTGGAATCTGGAATAAATTATCATAATAATCCGACAAATATTCAAAACGAGTCAAAAAATTAAATCAAAAAGGAGATTAAACGAATATTAGGGAGAAAAAGGTGATTAGATTAGAATGGAGCGTATACGTGAAGTTATTGTTCCGTTCCACTCCTTCAACAAGTATTATGGAAACAAAATTATACGGTTAATTAATAAATATAGCATTTAAGGTGATTATGGTTAAAATTAGCAAATGCTGCTGTATACATAATTATGATGGGGAATTTTTATTTTTTAAAACTGTAAATGTGTGAATTATTTATTATTTTTATTAAATTTGATGGAAGTTGAAGGTGAAGATACGGCCACGTCAGACACGATTGGATACCACGTGAAACCAACGTCCTACGCATTATTAGGACGGTGTGTGTCTGCTGGGGCGGTTGAGTGAAAATTACTTGTATTTTACAGTCTATTATTTTGGTTGTTGGGACCAAAATTTAAAATAATAATTATTTAACCACTAACTTCGGCTATTTTAGTGCAATTAATGTAAGTCTGATGTTTCTTAAAATAATGTTTAATTATGATAGTTAATTTTACTATATGAGGAATTAATAGTATATATTATGGTGTTATTCAAATACTTAATAATAATTTACTTTATTTTATAAATAATTAACATTAGTTATACTGATAATTATATATAATTTTATAAAATTAATCATAATTAGGGACGGGTATACCGACAATAGAAGAAGAAACCCAAAATTTGTCTAAAATAGTTGTAGATAATTGGATAAGAAAATCTAGTTTAGTTACACTCTCACTAATACTGTCATTGTGAGCCAAAAAATGAACATTAGAAAAGCAATCAAATGTCCCAGTTGAAAAAGTTCCACAATAAGTTGAATGTCTTCTGATTCAAGTCCCTGATCGATTATCTTAGTGTACTCCAGTTTCTTGGTGTGGGTTGAGCACCCTTTGATCTAAAGAACGTTAGAAAAGCAATCAAATGGACCATCTCATTATATTTATCTTCAAGGACAGGTTTTGCACCAGCTAGCTTCATTTGCATCACGTTCTTCACTCCATAGATCAGCAATTTGTATTATCTTCCTTCTCTTCTTCCACTTCCTTGAAAACTTCCATTACTGAATCATAGAATTTTTCCTCTTCAAGATGCCGCAATTCAACTTTTTCATTCCCTGAATTTATAACACCATTATAACATATGTTAAAAGTCTTTTTTTAACCAATTTAAAAAATCTAAACTTTAGTTGTGATGGTAATTACTAATTAGGTTTATTAAGAGCAGTGCTCTAGTTTGTCGCCTCTTCTTTTCAACATTTAAGACATGGTATAGAAGATCTATGCTGAGGGAAAAAAAACACAGAGAACAGTTTAATTAGAATGAAGAATTAATCTCTGAATATTGCTTTCAGTTCTTTTTGCTTCAACAAATGTGAGAGCGAGACCAAGAAAATGGGAAAGGAGGTGTGAAATTAATAACCTGGAGAATTTATTTTTTTCATGTAAAATAAGTATAATTTAAAAGGTAAAGTACAGAGAATGACAAAACTAATCAAGTTAATAAAGTATAGTTTAAAAATGCAACTTTTTTGTTAGTTTGAAATGCTAATTGAAAAGCGGTTAGTTCTATGATTTTATGTTTAGAATTAGAAGTAATGTTACTTTATTCATAACTTTTACAATATTAATTTTTCCTTTATCTCTTTATCATATATTGTCTTATTTCACGTTTTCTTTTTCTCTCTATTTTTGCACTTTTTTTCTTCCAAATTCTATGTATAAATGCATTTTTTTATGCTTGACTATGTAGTGGTTTATGTTAAAGTTAGGTTAGAATTAGTTTTGAACAATTAGTTTTAACCGGTTTATGCTAAGGTTTATTTTTTTATTTACACAAATGATATCTCTTAAATTTATTAGGAGCATAAAAATCACCAAGTGCATATTTTTCCCTGTCAACAATGTCTTTTTCATAATAAGCTGGAGTAAGAATATTTGTGTCTAATTAAGTGATTATTATGAGATGGAAGAAAATAAATTGGTCTTTCAACTACTCAGCTTACAAAACAACATTCAAAAAAACTGATTTTTGAGACACTTCAAAGTTCAAATTTACTTAATTAGAGAGAAAAAAATACAAATATAATAAGCGTTATGACACAATAAAAATACAAATTTACTTAAAAAATGGAATAATGATAACATTAAATATATATTTCACTCTTTTACGATTCATTTTTAATTTATTTTGAACCCTTTCCTCATGGATCCGGATCCTCTGACTTTGAGATATCAAAGTTATGGTAACTTAACACATCTTAACCGTTGGATTTGTAATAATAGATCAGATTGTGACACGTGCACATTTAAATGTACACATGTCACAGTCTGATCTACTATTACAAATCCAATAATTTAAATGGATTAAGTTACCCTAACTTTCCCCCTCCAAAGTCAGGGAATCTATTTCCTTTCCTCATCCATCCGGTCCAGCCCAGAATGGGAGTGGACCTTTCAAAAGAAAATGTCTAAAAATGATTAATAAGAATATTACGAAATAGAAGAAAAATAGAGGGAATCAGAGAAGAATAGATCGATGCATACCTTCCACATGCATGTACGGAGGAATAATGACCCACATTTCGAAATTAAAGTAGCACCTCCAGTCATCCCCTTCCTTAGATCATAAACCCTCAGTCAAAGGATGTTTTTCTTGTTTGTCACAATCACATCACCAACAAAAAAACAATAATGGAGAAGATCTATCCAAATGGCTGAGGTATGGCGTATGTGCAAATGAAGCTAGTTGATGCAAAACTTTGTCATTGAAGATAACTACAATGAGAGGGTCCAGTTGATTGCTTTTCTAACCCTCTTTACATCAAAGGGTACTCAACTACATCTAGAAACTAGGGCACTTTCACTTCATCAAACAGCCACTTGAATCGGTAAGCATTCAACATTGTCCAACTTTTTCAAAATCAATTTATATAATTTTCATTTTTTACTCATTAAACCCCTTAACCATGCACAATCTACATTTAAATCTACAATATAAACTCTATATATGCTACAACGATTATAACAATTCTTTGAGCTAACTTAAGAGGAGATATATGTTGTTAATGTTAACCAAGACATACAAGGATATGTAATGAAGCAGAATGTAGTGAAAATATGTCTTAATAAACAGTTATATATGTTCTCTAGCTATGATAGCATGACAACGAAAATAACTAAGGTTTGGTTCTGCAAAACCCTTTCAACGTAGAAGGGCAAGTAGTGATGGTTGCTGCAGACAGAGAGTGTAATTGGGAATGGAGAGTTTAATTTCTACAAGGCTCAGAGCAGAGGGGCATGTTCTTCTTTAGGTAAAGGTGATTAGGTTGAAAGATAGCTTTAGAAGCTAGAACTGGAATATAAGGACAAGGTTAGGAAGCTAGCTAACACAGCATGAAATTGATGGAACCACACAAATAACTTAGCTTAGCTTGGAAGCCTATATATATAATACGATAGTCGGATACCAGAACACATGAATAAATAAAAAAAATAAAAAATACAAAAATAAATTAATAAAAAATTATTTACCAAACTAAATAATTTTGGACACGTCGGATAACAAGAAAGAAGAAAACGTCAGAGAGAGTGACGATTTGTGGAAAACGTTATTCTGAGTGACGCTTTCACACTGTTCACAACTAAAAATGTCAACCCTGTTTACGTTTTCTGAATTAAAAATTTTAAAATTGAATGTAAAACGTAACTGGTACGGTACGGAACACAACCAGAACGGCCCGTTCTGAAATCAGAACAGCCCATTCTGATTCACTCTTTGTGTTGCATTTGTATCTGGAACGGGCCATTTCAGTTGCAGAATTAACATACAACTAGTGGGACTAGAACGACCCGTTCTGGATTCAGAACAGGCCATTCCAGGTTCATGAAAGAAGGACTATGAAAAAATATAGTTATATAATTTAATTCTTAAATTTTTTATTTAAAATTATTCATTATTTATTAATTTTATATATTATTTGAATTATATATAATTAATAATTTAAAATATAATTTATTTAAAATTTTTGAACTAAATTAAAATTATAAAAAAGTACTAAGATTTTCCTATGAGTTTATCCAAATCAGAACTCACTGGCTTTTTACGAAGACAAAGATGAGAACTAAAAGCAAAACTCACGTTTGTTCCGCATATTAGCATGTCTAGTGTTTTGTCATAAAAATGTCACGTTATTAAAAAAATTCATCTCATTAATTGTCACATTATCAAAAATATTATACTATCGTTTCATCTTTAACTTTTTTCTTAAATTAAATATTAAAATAAAAGATAAATTTTACTTTTTATCCCTATAATATTTAATTTGCGATTTTGTTTCCCTGACTTATAATTTTATAAATTTACTCTAATTCAATAAACTTTACAATTTTTCTCACTACTAATGGTTGTTCATTATCTCTTGAAGTTATAGCATTAAAAATATCTAAATGATATAATAATTAAACTAAAATATACTTTCAATTTTTATTTTTATCTTATAAAAAAAATAATAAAATTATGATAAAAATGAAAATTTAATGTATAATTTAATCTAAATATCATTAAATATTAATTATTTAATCATCTACTTAATATATAAATTCATAATTAATGTTATAATTTTAATAGTTAATAGATAATATTATTAATAAAATTAAAATTATAAATTTTATAAAATTGAGAAACTAAAATTGAATAACTAAAAATTGAGAAACAAAAATTATAAATTTCTTAAATTAAATATTAATGAACCTAGAACGGGCCGTTCTGGTCCCACTATTTGTTCGTTAATTTTGTAACTGAAACGACCCGTTCCAGATACAAATGCAACACACAAAGAGTGAATCAGAACGGCCTGTTTTGGTTTCAGAACGGGTCGTTCTGGTTTCAGAACGGACCGTTCTGGTTGTGTTCTTTACCAGTTACGTTTTACATTCAATTTTAAAATGTTTAATTCAGAAAACGTCAACAGGATTGACGTTTTTAGTTGTGAGCAGTGTGAAAGCGTCACTCAGAATAACGTTTTCCACAAATCGACACGACCTCTGACGTTTTCTTCTTTCCTTGTTATCCGACATGTCCAAAATTATTTAATTTAGTAAATAATTTTTTTATTAATTTATTTTTGTAATTTTTATTTTTTTTATTTATTATGGTGCATCAGCCTGAATAGGGTAATAAGATGAGAATGCTAATAATCACATGACACATGACTAGAGACGGACGCACGTTGAACGTTGTGGGGGCAGTTGCACCCACTAACTTTTCAATTTGTTTTTTAATAATATATAAAATATAAAATAGAACACCATATGTGTACAGTCATCCCAAAAATAATATTTTCTAGTGTCGATCAAGCACAGACAAAATCGTTACCCAAAATGGTAACTCTAACACGAGGATCAAAACTCCCCGTCTCGCAGCGGTCACCTCAACTCCAAGCTAGCCCTGACCTGCTCCCATACCAAGTATGATCATCGCAGTTCCACCACATGGAAACAAAAGGGTAAGCTAGAGTTCAAAAATCAATCATACAAGTACAGACAATAGTCTATACCACAAAATCATCCAACTATCAATCATGTTCATAGAGTCACACCATACTCTATCCAATACTACTCATGCATAAAATACAATCCATCAATCATGAAGCCAAACACCACACACTTCATCATATTAACAATCATGCAATAAATGCATCTCATGACAGATATTAATGCATATCAATCATCATCACAAACGACCATACAGTTCAACATAAAAACCCAACTCATTCATACAACTTAGAAGCAACTTTAATACAACAACAACAACAATATACAACTTAATATTTAATGCGTCATCACACATGTACAACTGTAAGATCTCCAACAACTAAGGTTGAGCAGTCTAGGTGGCATAAAACCCTACCGATCGAATCCAGCGTTTGACCTATCTCAACCAGGTCAGGTATGGAACAGCGTTAGGAACTCCGAAGAGAACCAGGTATAGACAACAATAGGCGATTGCTCAGGTGTGCCACTTAGACTTAGAGGTCCAGTACTACTATCAGGACAGAAGGGTTTTGGTATGAGCCTACCACGGCCTTGGCTAGCATCACCAATCCACATGTGGAGTTAGCCCACCCACTGTCCTCCAAGTACCACGCACCCTCCAGTACCTAGTCAAATACTACATCTCTAACTAGATACCTTACTCAAATTGGTCATTCAACCATGACATGGATCGACTATTTCCATGTCGCCCACACAGTACTAATGGATTCAACTTTAAAACAACTTTCAACTTATCACCTTAGTACTATGTATCTCAACATAGGACATATATCTTCACCATATGTCCCTAACTTTTCAACTTTACAACAATAGATACCATAACAACTTTACAACAATAAATATATGGCCGCTTGTAATCGGTATAGCTCGGCCTGACCCCTATACCGTGGTCGCTTTGTACACGTGTGCCTCGACCTTGCCCACACACGGGATCAACTAAGTCTTAGAGAAGAACAACACAATGTCCACTCCAAGGGACAACTTCCCAAGGAGGGTTTATCAACAAATTGGGCTCTCAGAGCACCACAACTATCTCAATCCACACAATGGGATGAGCAACTTCGAAAACATCTCCCCTAGTCTTAATGATCAACAACTCATCATCACAGCTTAATCAACTTAACAACTTAAACAACATACAACTTTTCAGCAATAGACATCTTAACAACTTTACAACAATAGGCATCTTAACAACAATTGATGGAACTAGGTGAGGAGATTGATGATTCCTTCACTTGCTCCATGCTTAGGACCGAAATGCACTTGAGGTTGACACTTGAAGATCTCTGAAACTCCATTGAAGAACCTTCATAGGAGTAGAAGTCTTGCTAGAGGTTCGGTTACTTCTCTTGGATGGAGAAACTTGAAGAACCTAGGCTTAGGTTTGAAGAACTTTGGAGGATTTCTTAGAGTAGAAAGTCCCCACGGTTTTGAGACTCTTGAGTTGAGAGAAAATCTGAAGATTAATTCTCATTTATGTCAAAAGTGATTACAAATGAGGTATTTAGAAATATATAGGGAAAGGTAGCTTGTAGGAGAAGCTATCCTTAACCATGGTTCACTAGGAACCATGGTAGAGTTAGCTTTAACTCCTACGGTTTAGGTGGCTTCTAGGAGAAGCTAACCTTGACCATGGTTCACTTAAGAACCGCCAACCTTACCATGGTTCTTAAGTGAACCATGGTCAAGGTTAGCTTCTCCTAGAAGCCACCTAAACCGTAGGAGTTAAAGCTAACTCTACCATGGTTCCTAGTGAACCATGGTTAAGGATAGCTTCTCCTACAAGCTATCTTTCCCTATATATTTCTAAATACCTCATTTGTAATCACTTTTCTAGGGAGGTTAAATGGAGTTAAACTCTCCAAGTAACATACCTTAAAAACAATATACAATCACTAGGAAAAAGAAAATAAAGTGCCTCACAATACAAAGGCAAAAATAACCTATACAAAAGACTATGCATGAACTGTACAATATAAACAAGTAGAACTAAGGCCTTCTCTTCATGATAGAGCATTCCAAGTGAAGATTACCTTGGGCCTAACAAGCCCATTAGTCTTCTCAAGATCCAGCTCTTCCTGTATCCTCCTAGCCATAGCTCTGGTCATTGGGCCCTTGGCCCATGGTCTATCAACAATAGACAACTTACAACAATACAACAATAGGCATTATATACCAGCTTGACAACTTCTTATTCAATTATACAACTATGCAACTTTAATAATTTTAACAACATGCAAACAACTTAATTAAACGACCTATATTCTAGCTTCCATCACCTGAAGATTGACTCAAAATAGCCAATAACTGAGCTATTAATTAATCCAAAACTTACATAAAATAAGAACCTTAATTGAATAATCGCAGAAAAATTAAAAGTGAACATGGTTCATTGTAAATATAATAAATGTTAAAAATTAGCTATACTGGATGGTAACCGATCAGGCTGAACACGCAACTCGGCCGATCCGACCGACCATACCAAATACGGTCGACCCGGTCGGCTCGATTAAATGGTGGTCGGTCAGATCGGCTAGCAGGTTCCACGTACACGAGGTTACGGAGTTAAATCAGGTCAATTAAGGAGAGATTAATTTACTTAATACACTGATTTAACCCCCTAATTTCCTGGGGCTCAGTCCTTAATCACGGTCCAACAACAACCACTATAAATAGACCCCTTACGAGGTACGTAACTAATTTTGAACTATCACATTTAATACGTTGATCACTTACTTGAGCGTCAGAGTGTCTTTTGCAGGCACCTCCCCCGCTTCGAACTACTTGAACAGAACGAGAAGACCTAGACCCAAGCCAAGATCAAGGACCGCAATCGCAATTAAGTAAAATGTGTATCCTAATACAAGAACATTAGCTAATTGTTGTAATATTTCGATTTGTATTGATATAAAAGTTAAAAATTTAAAACAAAAATATTAAAAATATAAATGTAACTATATCGTAGTATCCGTACGATATTTTATATAAATAAGAGTTAATTACCTATACACTGTCAGTGTAAATTTTTTTTAAACTGACAACTAATTATATCTTTTAATTGTGTCATGTCACTGTTAAAAGTAAATGTGTTTATAGTGACATGACACAATTAAAAGATATAATTAATTGTCAGTTTAAAAATTTTTTACACTGACAATATATAAGTGATTAACACTATAAATAAATGTTATAATAGAAGTTTCATTAAAATAGAGGGTGTGAGACCTGTGGCTGATACATATACACACTTCCCCTCACAACTCTCACTGTGTATGGGTTACTCTCATGGAGAGGATACATAAGTTTACACCACTCACTGAGGTTTAGTCCATCACTGACATTTCAAACACCTTAGTTTACAGAGATAAAAATACAATATTACATTGTACATATGACTATGTATGCTCATCTCTGGTCTCTGTCTTGTGGGCTTGATATGACACTTTTTCTTCTAGTTAAAAAGCCAACATTACAAGGTTTGATGTTGAGGCTTATATATAGTCTTGTGAAATCTTCTCGTTACAATTGTTCGTTGAAGCAAATATAGCCGTTCACGACCAGTTTGATCTTCTCATTTAATGCTCAAATTCGTGCATTAAATGTTGCTTCCCATTTATAGACAATGCGTGAAGTTTCCTTGATCAGTTAGTAGTTGTATCTTAATGTAGTAGAGTCCTAGGAAACTTCTGTCCTTTTTTGACCCTATAGTTGTGGAGCTTTTATCCTTGCCTGAAAAAGTGATGTACTTTTTCTGACATATGCATGATTTAGCGTTTGAGCATGCTCTTCTTCTTTCTTCATCTCTTCTAATAATTCAAATGACTTTGTGTGTTCTTCTGTTAGTGTAGACAACATTCAAATTCTCCTTTGAGGCTTGATTTCTTACATGATTGCGTGACATTCTTCGTCTGTGTCTTGTATATGGTCAGACTTTCCATTTCTTCTGGAGTTTCTTCTTGGTCATTTAACCATCTTTCGTTTGAGTCTTTATGTGCTGCCTTAGATTGTGCTTGACATGGTCATGTTCTTGATTTGGCATGTTGAGTGCTTATGTTGGCCTTTCATTTTGTAGCGTCTGATGCTTATGCCTCTTCGTCATTTTACCTATTCTTATGTCTTTCTGAAACAGTAACTCACTTGTTAGAGATAACAACATATATTATATTTGTCTCACTCAAAACATTTTTGGGAATTTCTTCGTCTGACTTAACAATCTCTCTCTTTTTCATGATGACAAATATAATTAATCAAAATTGTTTCAGATAAACCTTGGAAGCTTGAGAGAAAAAAAAACTTGAACTTGAAGTACTCGATTTTAGTTATAACACTGTTGTTTATTATGTTATTTTAATGGGTTTTATAGAATGTTTTAAAGGTTTTTAATAATGATGACTATTTTAGCAATAAATATTTATGAAAATTATTTTGTAATATTTTGATTTTTAGTAGCCCAAAACGGGCTGTTCTCATGGAATGGGCCGTTCCAGACTACTAAAATAGCCTAGAAAGATTAGGTTGGAACGGGCCGTTCCAACAGATGATTCACTGAGTAAACTTCGAACTTAGAACGGGCTGTTCCGATTTGGGAATGGGCCATTCCAAATGTGGTCGTTGTGAGTTGAAACTCATATCCAGAACGGGGCATTCTAATTCTAGAATGGGTCGTTCCCAATGTTAATTTTGGACATGAAGTATGAGTCCAGAACGGCCGTTCTGGATTTGAAATGGGTCATTCTGGCGACTACTGATGCCTATAAATAGAACACTCTATCACTCCAAAAGCACATTTTTTACTTTTCACCTCTTTTTTTTCTACACTTTCTGAAGACCAAGGGGGAACCCAGAGGAGGAGACCAATAAGATCTAGCTTTAGTTTCAGCTCTTGCTTATCGAGGTAAGGGGGGTGAGAAACCTCGCTTTGGGGGTGGGAATATCTGTTGGGTAGTGGGATTGGCCCCCAATCCTGTGTTTGTTGTATTTTTGTATGCTCGTGTATGAGGAGTTTTTCCCCAATTGTATCTGTTTTGCCTATTGTTTTTCTTATATGTAGTTAATTGTATGATCTGAGATTTCTATGGGTTCCTATGGGAAACCATAAGGGAATACATTGGTGATTGTAAGAGGAGATGGTTTGAAGAGGTAACTTTATGAGTTAATTGTATTGTTTTAAATGTTTATTGTATGAATTAGAGTGTTCTGTGGGTTCACTACTAGGGAATTACTATTCTACGACAGCAATTTTACATCGGTTCTAGCAAAAATGATGTAAAACATGAACGTGGTAACATTTTTGTAATTAAATGTAAAAGGTTAGGACATTTACATCGGTTTTAAGTAGAACCGATGTAAATTTGTACTATTCTACATCTGTTTTTGGATCAACCGATGTAGTATTGAAAATGTTCTACATCTACTCAACATGACCAATGTAGCATTGAGTTCTTCTATCGAAAACCCTCTCAAGAACCTATCTAGAAACACATTGGATCATCTTCGTTCTACTTCTCCAGCCAAATTCTTGATTCCTTCCCAAGCATTGAATTCTTCTGAACGTTCCCTCTCGTCCGTCTCGTCGAAAACTGAATTTCAAGAAAAGACAAAAGACATTAGTGATCTAGAGGAGAAAAGGAATCATACAGAGAAATTTGAGAGAGAAAGGAGCTCACATACCCAAAGTCCTTCTCTCTAAAACTTCTCTTTAAAAACCTCATTTTCTCGAGGGTAAAAATGTTAAGCAAGCTGCAATAAGTGTGAAATATCAATAGCTAATATGCTGGGATGATATTCAAAAATCAATTCTATCTCAAGATTCATGGTGATACTATATAAAAAAAAATTATTGTTTTGCCTTTGTCATATAAAATAATTAATTTTTCACTATGAATATTATAGATTTCCTCGATATTTTAACACATAACATTTCTAACAATGAGGACTAATTTGTTTAAAATAAAAAATATTTTAGAAAACAATTATTTAAAAATGGGGTTTGTTTCTTAAAAAGACAAAAAAGCTGTTTTTTAAAAAAATTGACAAACACATTAAACAATAAATATTATATATTAATTTAAATTTATATAATAAAGTATTATTTAATTTTTAAATTTTGAAAAAAATCTATAAATTTAATCTATTTATTAAAAAAAATTAATTTAATAATTATATCATTAAAATTTATAACAAATCATGAATTTATTAATTAAAATAATTAGTAAGATTTATTCTATAAAAAAACTCGTCAGTTTCCATGTATGAAAACAAGACCTGCTCTTTCTTACTTCGCATTTCAAATCCGTCCTGTACACTGCTTCGTGCATACTTGTCGCTTCCTCTAAAATCAAACCATATCCTTGGCCCCTACCTTTGTGATCATACGTACATATTCTTTTATGTGGTGCCTCCAAAAACACATTTTTCATCTCCAATCATAAGTTAAATTAGATTTAAATATATTTTTTATTTTTTATATTTATAATAATTTTTTAATTTTTAAAATTTAAAATTATTATTTTTAGTCTTCATAATTTTAAAAAAATTTATTTAAATTTCTTAAATTACCAACATATTTAAAAGTAACACATTGAGACAATTATATAGTTTCAATTAAATTTAATATATAGTTTTTACTAACAGAACACTAATAAACAGATTTTATTTGATAATATTTAACAAAATTTATAACAAAATTTAAATATAAAGACTAATATAAGTGTTTTTTAAAAAACAGATTTTAGACCAATAAACTATAAGATAACGCAAAACTTTTTAAAAAAAATCCTTTATATGAGAATAAAAATAATTATCGAATATGTTATTGTATATATGTGTGAAGAAATTTTTTTATTTTTTTTCAAAATAACTTTTTTTTTAGTTCTTTCTTCACACTAAAATTCACATGTGAATGGTTACTTAATTTTATAATAAGCTTGATTTTAATATACTGTGTAAATAAAAACATATATTGTTAATTTATTAAAATCATTTTTAAAATAATTATTATAAAAATTAATAATTTCATTATATAATATTAAATAGTAACATAAAAATATTTATATTATTATATTTTAATTTAAATTTTCATAAATCAAGATTCAAAAACATATTTAAGCACTAGACTGGAGTTGGCTAATAATATAAGTTTGAAATAATATACACGTAATCTTAATTATATTTAAATTTTATTATTCTATTTGTGGTTCTAACTAATTAAAAAATATTAATATATATATATATATATATATATATATA